GTTAGATTTAGGTGGCTTTAACAAGGACAAATGTGCCTGAGAAAGCGTCTGCAACAGGGCTTAGCTAACAAACTAAGCATACTGCAAAAAAAATAGTTGTAATCTATTATACTATTTGATGAGAATTATCTTCAAATATAAAGAATATTTAATTAACTTAACCAAATTTGAACAAAAGCCGCGTTAAAAATGCCAAACGAACTTTCATCTCTATGTCTAAAATCTGGAGAAAACCGCTCTGATACAAAAGAACTGTTTCGAAGGATCCAAGAAAATCTAAATGTGATAATAATTGAATTTTTATGGTCGAATTAACGGACATGATGGATAGTCCGAGATACAGTCATTTTTGTTTAATGGGGAAAACAAGAAATAAGTACGATGAAGAGGGGCAGAGAAAAACAACTAGAAACCTACGGAAAAAAAGCTCGTCTAAATGCATGGCAGAACGGAGACTTGAAGTAAAAGGGAAAGGTAAACGTTACTAAGATCTACAAGGAAGTGGTGGAGAGCTATCGTCATGCACATCCTTAAAGGTAAACAGCACATAGAAGAAGAAACTATTTCAATGCCGATTATATTTTGTACCATTTCACTTCATGACGTAGACGTAAATGACTCGCTTCAGATTTCTTTTCCTTATAATCTCTAAAGTGTCATGATTGCTTGGGAAATATAGCGGAGTGTTTTTTCCATTGTCTTTGGAATTTGGAGTTTTCTTTCTCTTAGACGGGTCACCCCCACAGGTATAGGACCCAGTCAACTCTCATCATTTAAGGTATCATTTAAGGTATCATTTAAGGTAACCAACATATTTCAACTGCCAAGTGTTACTAAAATCAATCAGTCACTTCTCAAATTTCTTTCGATTTGTACAATTGATAATAAAGCTCCTAATTTTATAGGGATTGGATACTGATAGCTTGTATCAATTTTGTAAATATATTGGAAAGCCTACCATATAGCAACAGATGGCAGTATGGAGTTACGTATCGATTTTGAGTCCTTAGCTTATAAGGTTATGTGGGGTCTGGCAAGACACAACACTTGATTCGACGAAGTCATTCGTGATAGTAGTATTCAATACTCAGCGAGACAAGTCACTACACTAGTATTAGCTTCCTCCTTTGATAATTATCCAGGACTACTTATTAGACATTTAATCAGTGCATTCATGATAATAAGCAAGGTATCTGACTCTTACTGCAACAATATCTAAGCTAAGCGTATGAAATATGTTAAAACATAACGACATAAACAGATGTATAAAAAAGCATTGTAGACATTAAATTCTAGCATTATTTTTTAATGAACACAACTCCAGTATACATTTCTTTTGATCTAACAAAGCATTTATCCAAAAATTAGGCTTTCTCTCTATACGTGGCCAGAATGACGGGGAATATCTTGTAACAATTGCGCATGTCAGCATCAAAGTAATTAAACCAGGCTGCTTCGAGTAATTCATTTTGACGTGCTGAAAGTTGCAATAATGGCCAATAATAATATTTGTACGTGTTTCATAAAGATCAAATTGTTAAATCCAGAAGAATAGGTCAGCGCATTTATAAACTGAAGCAACTTGTGGAGTGATAGTCAAAAGTCCTTGAGATGACATCAAGAAACGATTCTAAGTCATTTCCAAAGATGTGATCCTTGGTACGTTCTAAACCAAGGGAAAATGACGCATTTTGAAGTAGCTTCCAAAAATTGATACATTTTTAAGTTTAACTGAAAAATGTAATATTGCTTAGTAATATGATAATTTAATATAATTTACAAATATTGTTTATTTAATTTATTATATATATTATTACTATTGCTTGAAGTTATATATATATATATATATATATATATATATATATATATATATATATATATATATATATATATATGAAAACAAGAAATTATGAATTATATGTGCGTTTAAAATTCAGTAAATTTAAAAATAAGTTATTCCAAAATTCGCTTGAAGATGAAACAGAACTAATGTTTTTAATTTAAATATATAATTAAATTTGAAGTTTTTAGCTTCGGTTTTTGAAACATGGTAATTCCTGTGTAGCAAAGAAACCGTATTTTAAATCAGTTAATTTATAAATATATATATATATATATATATATATATATATATATATATATATATATATATATATATATATATATTGATTATTATTTCTTTTAATTTTTCCATGATACCGGGTTTTTTTTGTATTAGTATTTGTTTGTTTATATACAACTAACCTGGAGATGGTTTGTCTTATTTTTACTTTCGGTTTTTGTTTAACTCAACTTATATTTATCAACTTTGGGTTTTCTACTTTCGTTCATTTTCTCTCAATTAATAGTTAAGTGTTAGTACTCTCAAAAAGGCAGTATAAATTATTTTATTGTATGTTAAATAATGACTTTGTTTCCAAATATTTAGTATGCGTTTCTTTATTCATGTACTATTTCGCAATTTGTTTTGCTTTCTAGTGTTTTTGGTTACCTAACGTTTTATGTACTTAAAAAACAAACACTTTTTTTGTAAACCTCTACCTTGATTGATTTTTCTTTATTTGATTATACGGCTTATCAAACTTTTGCAAGTTATTTAAAGCTAGAAAATATTTTAGATTGTAAGAAATTCTTTTGAGATAATAATGTTTTACTGATATAAGTTTTACTAAAATAGGTAGATCCATACCATTCCCAAGGATATTTGCGCGTAAGTGAATATAACGAACCCAACTGGAATTGGAACTCGGCTCTTCGATTAACCATTCTGAGCCATTAGACATTTCACCACACACACATTCAAGCTTACCACACTTTTCTGCCTTGAATGACAGGCTTTGTATATGGTGAACAATCCTAAAAAGATGGTCGTCTGGTCTATTGATACTTGCTGTTGCCTGAGTAAAGCAAACTTCGCGGTATAAGGGTGTCGTTATTTTTTGATAGAGATGACATCAGTATGCAACGGAAGGAAACAACAAGCCGATGAAAGTGTAATGGTTGAAGTGACATTCTGTTGCAGGAACACTGGTTTCTATCATTACTGTGCAAAGAACTTTTCTTTAGTGCCATCTAATTCAACAGAAGAGATACACACTTTCATTTTGACAGACTTCTAGTGTAGCAATGACATCTGTCAGCATGAAAACGAAAATAAACTCCCCTGGCATAGGTTAGAGACACAAATCTCCATAACACACGTAACAAGACAAAGCATAGTGTTTAATATAATCGACTTCATTTAATTTTTTTTAATTTCTCGGAGAATCTATTTTTATGAATGAAGCTTCTCCGAGTTCTGGATCATTTAGATCAAAGACTTCAAAGAACTCTTTGACGTGGTCGGATGACCATATACAGTGGACGTCCGGATATCCGTATGCATTGACTGGCGCCAAAATTAAGCGAATTGTCTGGCGAAATGAGTTGTACAAATCTTCTGAGCGGTTAGTTAACAACTCTTCACTGACTGGACATGTAGGCTAAAAGCAAACAGCAACATCCGACTGAAATCACTTGAAGTATTCTTAACTTCTTGTTGATAAACCTTTATCTTTTTTTTCCTTTTTAGCCCACTGACTAAATCAATGAAATTAAAATAAAATCATTTTGGTTTACTATAAACTATCTGTCGTTCCTTTTATTCTCTTTATCTTATTCTTTTGTCGCTCACGTTACATCATATTTCAGGTTGATTTTTTCTATGATAAATAAGCCAAAAATTTTGTATTTTATTTGTAACATAAGGAATTTCCAGTATACTTTACCTTTACTTTGTTCAAACTATTGTTTTCATCTTCATTATTATAAACGTTATTATAGACAAGTTGGAGTTAACTCCTCCTTAATTTCCTAATTGTTCACTAGGGGTCGCTCTCCCTACACTATACATACTGGGTGATTTATTGTCTCGTTCTCTTTATTTTGCATTTCATCGGACACATTTAAAACATGTGATCTCTCGCAGAGATCTGCGTTTTGCCCATTAGTGGGAAAATGCCATGAAACTCACACACACACATACACGTACGTATGAACATTCATAAAAATACAAACTCTTTACATTCAGGCAGAAACACAAATGTTGATGTCTTTGTCCATTGCAAATTTTGTAGTTTAATATATTTACTTGTTTGTATGTATATATCGGTCTTCTTTATGGTGAATTCAATCCCTGAGCCCGCCATGTTCTTGTAGTTGGACCTTCTATCAGGAATAAACACCCGTGTTCCTAATTTAACAACACGTAAACCCACGCTATAGATTCAACTTTCCGGCTAAGTAACCTCGTCTTGTATAGGAATGATTGATTGACTGTTTTATTCTGTGGAACTGTACGTCCACACACACACATATGCACATACATCCTCACATATGCTCACATACATTAAATCAAATGTACACTGAATGTGATATATTAAATGTCCGCCGATTGGATCGATTCGGCCAATCAGGGCAGGGTTTTTTGCCGCCAAATCGTAGGGTTGTTCAAAATCCTATAAAACTTTTTTCCCGCGAGAAAGCGGTTAGTTTCGGCCTCACACATCAAGAGACAGAACACGAATTTTCACAAGACAAACCTTCGCCCAAACTCACTCATTCTTACAAACCTAAATTGTGGATATAATTTACTTTGATTCATGTCACAGATTGAATACGTGTTCGTCTTATTTTGTCCAACGTCAAGAGTTTTTATTTTCACAAAATAAATAATAGGGGTACAGCCCCACTATAATTCTATAATTCTCTACGGATTGCTTGCAGGTTAGTTAAAGACGAAAAATATTTACTAGATTATAATCATTTTTTTTTTAGGGAGATAATAATGATTTAGGGGTATACGTCTTAATAACTGTTCCATAGCTGCGGTAGGCAGAGAAGTGAATTCCTAAGACTATTTGCCATTGCGTAAATATAACGAACCACGCTAGAATTGCAACCCGGCTCTCCGATTAACAATTCCTAACCATTATCCATTAAACCACCAACACACCCAGACAAACAGCTAGTGGTATTCCCAAGCAGTCAGACATCTAGGTACTGACCAGGCTTGACGTCGCTTAACTTCTGTGATCGCACGGGAACTGGTGTTTTAATGTTAAGTGGGCTTAAAAGTTGTACGGTAATGGTTTCATGCAGATTAATTTCACCTTCATACCCACCAGATTTCGATCCCAATGATCACATGTTGGGGGGGGGTTGAGTTGATTAAAGCGTTTGCTCTCCGGAATCATCACAGCATATGGTGTCGCTGTTAAAAAAAGATTTTCAGTTATCTTGGCAACAGAATCTATGGAAGCCTTTAACGGTCCTGGTCGCGTTAAAGCTGTTTCTAGGAGACTTGAAGGACCAACAGCTTATTACACAGGTGGCCATAATACTTCCGCTTATCATGCCTAATTTATCTTTGTTACCAAATAATTTTGCTACATTGCATTATGCTTCTGGAAACAATAAATTTATTGCATTTTCAACAGTGTAAGATTGTTCTTAAAATATATATATATATACTAATTGATTTCATGTTATCACATCTTTTTGTCTACACATATATAATGGGCAGTTGTCTGTATATGTGTACACGTGTGTGTCCGGCTAAAACTAAAAAAAACTACAATAATTACGACAAAATAATTATATGTACAGATTCAGTATCACCCATACACATTTTTGCAAAAAAAAAAAAAAATATCATCGTATAAATTGTATTTGCGAATATATTTTAAAATTAAAAATACGTAATAATTGATTTTAATACAGTAATATAATAATTTAATAAACTGAAAATAAAAAAAAATGTTATAATAAATAACTTTTATGTTTTAATAAATAACTTTTTTATTTTCATAGTGTTTACGAAATTATTATATTACAGATATTAAAACCGAAACAATCTTTCATTTCTTTTTTTAAATATATTCTAATGTCAAGAAATGCTACATATTTGAGTTAAAATACTTAAATATTGTAAATTTTCATTATGCAGTCATAATATTTTCTTCCAATATACCAAGGGCGGGATCAAATTTGACTGGTAGCAGACGACAGTGTTACTTTGTAGCACTCACTGTATGAACTTAATTTAGTTGTTCGGCAATCGCAACAATTAATGATTATTAGTGTATATATGATTTTCGTCTCCAATGAAAACACAATAGAATAAATTCCCGCAGATATTCTGGGAAGGAGATTTTCCGTAGCTTTAATACAATTACATATGCCACGAACATATAAGACATTTTTTCGATATTTTCAATCGGGAAATATTTAATTACCTATTTTAAAAAATAGGTTTAATTTAAGTACACGTATTTCGTTTTTATTCTTGTCTTTATATTTTGATTTAAAACAATGTGAAAGTTACAACGATCTAGCAATTGCTGCAAGACAACTTGAAACTGTGGATACTCGACAGGAAAGTATTCTTGCTAACAGGTATCAAACTGCTGCTGCAAGCCAGCCTCTAACTGCAGATACTCTATAGTCCCTTTCACTCGCTGACAGAAATCAAACTGCTGCAGCAAGTCAAATTGAAACTGCGGATACTCAACAGGATCGTTTGCTTGCTAATAAGTATCACAGTGCTGTTGCAAGACTTGGAATTGCAGATACACGACAGGTCCATTTGGTTGCTAACTGGAATGAAAATGCTGTTGCATGACAACTTGAAACTGTTACTAATCGACTGACCCGTTTACTTGCTAGCAGGAACGAAACAACTTGAAATTGTAAATACTCGACAGGCCCTTATACTGGCTAACAGGAATTAAACTGCTGTTGCAAGACAACTTAAAACTGTTGCTACTCGACAGGCCCGTTTGCTTGCTTACAGGGACGAAACTGCTGCTTGAATCAACTTGAAACTGTGAATACTCGACAGGCCCCATTACTGGCTAACAGGAATTAAACTGCTGTTGCAAAACACATTGAAACTGTTGTTACTCGACAGGCCCGTTTGCTTGCTAACAGGAACCAAACTGCACCTGCAAAACAGCTTTAAACTGTGTGTATTTGATTATGTCCGTTTGCTTGCTAACAGATATTAAAGTGCTGCTGCGAGACAACTTGAAACTATTGATATTCGGCAGGGACGTTTTCTTGCTAACAGGAATCAAACTACTGCTGCAAAACAACTTGAAACTGGGCATACCTTGACAGGCCCGTTTGCTTGCTAACAGGAACAGTTCCGTTTGCTTGATAATAGGAGAAATGCTTATCGAGCATACAACTCCATATTTAGAACTCTTGCATGAGTTTCAAGAAATATTAATTGCCTTACGGAAGCTTTTTCTGATGATCTCGAAAAAATTACAAGACTGATCCCAAAGTAACACTTGGGGAAATATAAAACATTTGTGAACATTGTGGAAAGAAGAAGAGACCTGCAGAATTACTTGGTTTAAATTGCTTAGTCGGCAATATCAATCTAACAACAATACAAAATTGCTGAAGAATCTATTATTGTAGAATACACACGAATCTATTATTGTAGAATAGCCACGAAGCAAAACACTTAAGCTTCTGAAATATAATTCTGCTTTTCAGATGACATCTTTTGGAGAAGATAAGAATATAACAGAATTTAGATTCTTAACAACGCATCAAATCCAGGGACAGTGTTATCATTTAATTGGTGGTCTTCTTCCACTACCCAAAGAATCCCATAATTTTGTGCAGATATATTTTATGGGTTGTAATTAAGCACAACAAAGATACACACAAGTTCACTGTGAATTGGAATTGGACATAGTCATTGTGTTTCAGGAAATATTTAACCAAAACCATAAATATGTTGGTGTTTTTAAACATGCACATAAAACCGATAAACAATTAAAAGAATCGATCATCAGAACAGATAAACGATTAGCTGGAGAACATGAACTGAAATACAATGCACTTGTCAGATGAAATTGCAATTCTAATGGTGGATGAATAGCATGAACACAGTGACATTATTTTACAACTAAGAAACGGACAAATTTCTGAATGTTTCTGAAACTCACAGAGCCTATGATTCCCTCCAATATCCGCTCATATTCTGAAATGGATAAAGATGGATATCATTTTCAGATATGGCAAAAAACAGAAACAATACCGGAGACTCATCTATCAATAAGTTGTAAAAACTTCAATTCTTATGCGCTGTAATGTTATTCAAGACTTGCGTTTGAAAGCAGTGACCAGCCAGTTAATGGTATATATGTATGCAAAAATATAAGCCGAAAGGTCGGACTTCATACGAAGAAATAAAAAAAAATTAAATGTAGAGGATTACATAAACCTTCAAAATTCCATGCATTCTGCTTGATAGGAATCGAATTACTGCCTCAAGAGAACAACAAGAAAGACAGCAAATTAGGAGGAATGCTGATCGAACTTACCACTTCATAATCAGAGCTCATGCAAGAGTTTCAAGAAATATTAATTGGTTGATGGAAGCTTTTTCTTATGACCCCTCAAAGGATTACATGAGTCATCCCAAAGTAACAATTAGGGAAATGAAAAACACCTGTGAATATTGTGGAGCGAAGTAGAGGCCTGCTGAATACATAAACTCAGAATGCAATGGGTTATATTAAAAAGTTTAGACAGCAAATCTTTTTCTTACCTTTACCTGTAATCTAAAGTGTCCTGAAATATCAAATCAACTTTTTCAAAATAAAAAAAGCTAACGATTGCCATGTATAATCGAGTGTTCTATGAGAAGTAACAGAAGCTCTTCTGGTTTCTCAAAAGAAAAAGAACGGTGAGCTTAATACATTGATGACAATGATTTAATGGCAAAAAAGAGGACTTCCTCATTCTCATATCCTGATTTGGTGCAAACTAAAAATAAGAGGTGAAAATAAAATAAAAATATTAAGTGTGGAGTATTACATAAACCTTTAAGATTCCATGTATTCTGATGATAATTAGAAGAATACTGAACAACAAATCATCTTGCTTTGAAGCTATAGAGGAAAACCCCGATATATAAACCAATGAACTCAGAATGCAATGGGTTAAATTAAAAAGGTTTGGGCAGCAGACCTTTTCCTTACATTTACCTATAATCTTAAGTGACCTGGAATATCAAATGAACTTTTTTCAAAATAAAAAATGTAACGATCGCCATGTATAATTACTCGAGTGTTCCATAAGAAGTAACAGAATCTCCTCTGGCTTCTCAAAAAGAAGAATCTTCGGTGAGCTTAATACCTGAATGACAACGATTGAATGGCAAAAAGATGACTTCCTCATTCTCATGCCCTAATTTGATGCAAAGTAAAAATAAGAGGTGAAAATAAAATCATTTCAGCTGAGCTGTCTGATAAAGATGACATTTCAGAGCTCTTTGAAGCCATTAAAACTCAACTGATGCCTGGTCCATGTGGAGCCATCCATCCATATTCACACTGTATGCAAGATCTAAATGTTTATCTTCAGGAAATTCAAACTCAAAATGATGGATATTCCCTTTATCACAGGTGTAAACCAGAAGAAGGAGGCAAATCAACAACTTTGAGATTTCGAGGACAGAAAATTACCTTCGATAATCAATGGTTAGTGCCATATAATAAATTGTTACATAATGTTTCAAAGGCACACATTAATGTATAATACTGTAGTACAGGGAAACCTATCAAATACATCACAAAATAAGTCAAGAAGGGTTGTGACATGGCTACTTTTGCTATTGGCGATGAAGGTGAGTCAGATGAAGTAAACATTTATCAGACAGGACGTTACATTTCAAGTAATGAAGCTACCTGGAGGATTTTTGGATTTGACATTCACCAACAATATCCAAGAAGTGCTAAACCTACTTGTCAATCTAGAAAATGGACAGAAAGTATATTTTACTCAGGATACAGCTCCTAATTTAGCACAGACACCACCTGAGACTAACCTGTCTAGAGAGTGTTTTTGCGCGATCTCTCATGTCTATAGACGTTCCAATCTTCTTTACCTGGACTTAGCAAAAATATGGATTTGATGAAAGCAGGAGAAAACAGTTCAAGGATATAAAGTCAAGGCACCCGATGCTATTGGGCGTGCTTATACTGTCCACTCTAATAGCAAGGTGTGTTTTTACCTGTTGTTACTTCTCCACACTGT